TGGAGCCTCTGAAGGTCGTCCCCGAGGCCCCAGGGCTGGCTGGGATCTTCTGGGAGGGGACTGCAAGCCACTCTCCTCTCTCCCCTACAGGCCTCCTCCCAAAGCACTTCCTAATGGACGTGCTGCACACCACTGGCTCACACAGCTGCTGGGTGGGGGTGGGGGGAGGCCTGGCCCGTGACAGGTGTCACACGGCAACCTGCTAGTGCCTGAGCCTTTGCCTCTGGATTCTGTCCTGTTGCAGCGATCCCTGTGAAGGCTCTGCCGCGGCTCACTGCGTGACTGAGCCTCAAACCTGAGTGTGGAGAGCGCAGGGGGGGTGGGGGTCCCACCGCAGGGGGCTTGAGTCATGGGAGGAGGGGGAGAATTGGCTCAGTATTTTCAGACCCTCGCCACACGCGTGTCCCTCTGTGAGATCAGGCATACGTCTAGTCTCACGCGCTGACTCTGGGCTCGCCCTCGGCGCTGTTTGTGCAGCTGGGCCTGCTGGAGGGGCAGGACGTCCGTACCGAGAATAACCCGGACACTTTGCGTTTGTTGAGGGGCTGTCGCCAAGACTTACGTGGTACTGAAGGCCCCCTCTTGACCCTGCAGGGTCCTCTGTGTACAGCTCAGAAGGGTGTGGCCTGGTGGCCGGTGCCCCGTGGGGAGGAGTGGTGGCAGAACTCGCACCCAGACTCCTCCCGCCTCTCCCCACCTCACCGCTGCCCTTCTCTGCAGCAGACCGAGGTCATGGGGGATGGCCCAGGTGGCCCCGCGGTGCAGGGGCGGCAGGAGACCCGCCCCTGGTTGGTGAGTCTGGGGAGCCGCTCCCCACCTGCATTGCGTCTTGCATCTCCCACCAATGAGCTCAGGTTGCGGGGAGGAGCGGGTATGCTGTGTCTGCAGGGGCTGGGGTGGGGGGCCGTGCTAAGTCTCTGGTGTCATGCTGAGTTTGGGGCTGGGATTGGATCTTTGCCCTGTGTCCCAGGGCACCTCATTCCCCGCGAGCCTCCTGTCGCCCGGCCAGCCTCGCTTTCCACGGCAGCCTGGTCCAGGCCAGCCTGCTTCCGTACAGCTGCCGTGGCAGCTCACGTGCTGTCCCTCCCTCACTGGGCAAGTGGGGGACATCCTCGTGTGCCCCCCGGGTGGGGAACAAGGACCACAGCAGCATTCGTAGGGGCTCCTGACGGGGCCTGGCTGGCAGCACACTGCACATGAGTCTGTTCAAGTGCCCATCGGAAACCGGAGGGGCTGGAGGGGCTGTGCCCTCTGCATTAGCAGCGCTGGGCCGGGGGGCCGGGGGGCCCTGAGGGGTGTCCTTCCATGGCCTGCCGCCATCAGCAGAAGCTGCATGGCGGCGCCCAGTGTGCCTGCCTGTGGCTGCAGCTTGCCGAGACCTTGCTGGTCTGGAGCCGCCGGGTGCTCCGGCTACTGCTCTGACCACCGAGGCCCCCAACCTCAAGGTGGGGGGCACCCGGGGGACATAAGCCTGCGCCCACGAGTGGCTTGAGGGCACAGACTGAGTCCGAGGGGTTCCCTAGAGTCCCCACTTGGCTCATTACCCGCAGCATGGCCACTGGGGCCCGGCCCCGTGGTCCTTTCCTGGCCTCTCCCACACACCATAGCACAGTGAGGAGGCATTCCTGCTCCCGTAGACTTCATTTATAAAACCAGGTGGGCCTCACTTGGCCCCGAGTCCCTGGGGGCTGGCCCCAGCTCTAGCCCGGGGTTTTCCAGCTTGTGCTTGCATCAGAACCCTCTGGAGGGTATGTGCGCAGCATGGACCCTGCGCCCCCAGAGTTTGTGAGTCAGGAGGCCTGGGGAGGGGCCCAGCGGTTGGCATTTCCCAAAGGTGCCGGTGAGGCTGCCGGACTGGGGCTGCATGTTGAGAAGCGCGCTCTAGAAGATGAGCAGGAGCATGTGGAGCAGACGGGGGCGCGACAGACGGGGCTGCACAGCAGGACACATCACGACCATGGGGGAGCTTTAGGTCCTGCTCTGGGGGGGTTCTGACCTGAGCGCCCCCACTGTGTGGAGGGAGTGGTGCCAGCGAAGGTGTGCATGGGATGTGAGAGAGAAAAGAGTGTGCTACAGGCACTCTGGGCCCCGGGGCCTAAGCAACAATGCTCCTTTGAACAGTTTGAGAGAGAGAGACAGGCGGACGGTGACCTTGGTGAGAATCGATGGGCCTGTCCAGATCCTCCAGCCTCAGCTCCCAGTCTTGACGTCATGGAGACTTGGGGGGTCCTGGAGCAGTTGCCCACCCCAGGGAGGGGGCCACAGACATCGTCCCCTAACCACAGAGCCGGGGAGCCCAAGTCCCCATGGGAGAATGGTTCCTCCAGCAGCGGGGAGCTCAGGGGCCCATCAAAGCCAGCTCTCTGGTGGGGTGTCTGTCCCCTCTGCTCCGTGGTGGGGGTCAGGTTGCCCAGAGCCTCCATCTTGCTCGGTGCAGTCAGCCCCTGAGCTGCCACACTCAAACCCTGGGCCTTGGTGTACAGATCCCCCACCTTCACCCCTGGCTCTCCTGGCTTCTCCCCTTTTCCTGGCCTCTGTAGCTGGAAAGCCAGGTGCAGGCTGGGCCTTGGGGTCCCTGCTTCTGCTTCTAGGCAACCTTGTCATGACTTTAAATGCTATTGCTGTGTTGGTGACTCCAGAAGGTACGGCTTTCGTTTCTTCTGGGCCGTCCAAGTGCCGTGCCAAACACAGTGCGCCCAGCGCCGCTCACTGCCTCCTGGCCCCCCCACATCTCTGCCCCAGGTTTGCCCTACGTGGTCAAGAACTCGGTCCCCATCTAGCAGGAAGCTCTGGCCAAAACTTGCGTTGTCCACTCTAGTCTTTCCCTCACACCCAGGCTTCAGAACGTGCTCCCAGTATGACCTCACTCCTCCTCAGCCCCTGGCCCCTGACCTCTTGGCCTCCTGATGGTCCTTATGACCCCTGGTCTGCCTCTGTCCACACAGCAGAGTTCAAGACAAACCAGCACGGTCCTGGATTCATTTTAATCCAAAGTCCTTACCTGGCCCTGAATCCCCTTAGCTAGTGTTCCCTCTCTCAGAGGGCCCTCCCTTGACCTCCCGGGCATTGTGCAGACTCCCCAAGCTCCTTCCTGCCTCGGGCCCTGGGGCCTGGCCCTCTCTGTGCACCATGCCCTGCAGACTGCTCCCATGTCGGCTCATCAGATGATCCCTTGCCACCCTCTCAGGAACAATCCCTTCTGTTACACTGTTGCCTTATTTTTCCCCACAGCACTTGTCACCCCAGATGCTGCCCCTGCCCTGGAAAGGGAGCTCCAGGAGCACGGGGGCCAAGTCCCCAGTGCCTGGACAGGCCCACAGTGGGCCTTCGTACATGCCACAAAAATGGTTTATGGGGCGCCTCGCTGGCTCAGTCGGTTAAGTATCCGACTCTTGATTTTGGCTCAGGTCGTGGTCTCAGGGTCATGAGATCGAGCCCGACATTGGGTTTGGTGCTCAGCGGGGAGTCTGCTTGAGATTCTCCCTCTCCCTCTGCTCCTCCCTCACCTCACACTCTTTAAAAATCCTCAAAAAAACCCCATAAAATTTGCTTAAAAAAATGGCTAACAGCAGTGAAAATGTCGGTAGCCGTAGCCAAACTTATGAAAGAACAGCAGGGAAGAGCGGCAGAGCGGCTGAGGCCCGAGGCCTGACGGGCGTCCGCAGACCGCCACAGCCCCGGTGCTCCCGTAGTTGACCCCCGAACCTGAGAAGAGAGGCCGCCACTGGGAGATCACCAGAGAAGGCCTGCTGGCCTCTAACTCCCTTTACTGGGACGTCCAGGGTGCTGGTGGGTGGGCTAAGGGGTGGCTTCCCGAAAGGGTGACCAGGGAGATCCCTCACCCCACAGCGAGGGGCCCCGGCAGGTATCAGGACAGCCCAGAGCAGCTGCCCAAGAACAGACACAACAGACCCAGAGCAGTGACAGGAACCAGCAACGGAGGAAAACCAGATTTTCGGGGGGAGGGGCTGAACTGTGTCCCTCCCACATTAACGTGGTGAACCCTGACCCCCAGCCCCTCAGAAGGTGACTGTATTTGGAGACAGGCCTTTAAAGAGGGGATGAGGGTAAAATGAGGACCTTAGGTCTGAATCCAGGGTGGCTGGTGTCCTAAGAAGAGATCTGGACCCAGGAGTCAGGCAGGGGGATGCGGGCACGGAGGAGAGGCCTGGGGAAACCAGCGTGGACACCTTGATCTCGGGCTTCAGCCTCCAGGACGGCGGGTCTGTTTCTGCCCTTGAAACCCCCAGCCTGAGCAGACGGGACAGAATTCACCGGCTTGTGCTTAGACAGGAATTACTTTTGCATTGTTGGCAGTTATCAAAGTAGCTTCCCTGGAATGGGAGTCAGGCGGAGGGCTCCGCGTGGAGACAACGCAGTTTCCCCCCCCCCCCCCCCCCGACCCACGCCGGTCGGGGTCCTGGCCGCCTCGAATCCAGCATCAGAGAGAAGCCTGCTCCGGAGCCCTCCCTGCCCTCCAGGGGTGCGTGTGGGGAGGGAGGGGGTCTAGCCCTGGAGAGGTCCCCTCCCGCCCTCTTCCTGGACCTATGTGAGTGGGCGGCGGGGGTCAATGCCTGTCCCCTCCCCCGCCACCCTCGGGGAGTGCACCGCTGGTGTGGTCAACGGGCGCTGGCTTTGCTAGAGCACCGGCTTGTGTGGGCGCCGCCTGGGAGGGGAGGGCGGCCCCCACTCTGCGCTGGGGTCCTGCAGGCCAACCGTAAGGCACGTGGCTTTTGTGTCACATGTCCCAGCCACTCCAGCCACCCCAGGCCACTGCGCGGGTCGGATGTCGGATAGCCCCGGGCCGCTCAGGCCCCGCCCCCGCCCCACAGGCCCCGCCCCCGGACGGACCCGCCACCTCCTGGGGCACACCTAGCTCTCCGCGTCTCCCCGCCGCAAGCACTGCCCCCAGGCAGGTGGACGCCCGCCCCTCCCCGGGCTGCCCTCGGCGCGCCCGCCACCTCCCCTCGGTCCCCTCGGTCCTTTGGTCCCGAGATCGCATGGCGCGCGCGCTGGGGCCCGAGCGGCGGCTGCTGGCCGTCTACACCGGCGGCACTATCGGCATGCGGAGCGAGCACGGCGGTAAGTCTGCGGCCTGGGGGGGATGGGGTCGTTCTCATGCCCAGTGACCTTTCTCAGGTCTTGGCCCAGCACTGGGAGCCCTCTGGGGCCGCGCTCAGCGCCTCTCCCTGCGCTGTTGCCGGCACCCCTCAGCGCGGAGGCATGGGGGCCCCACGGGGCCCCGCGGCTTCTGCCCCGTCCCGGACAAACGAGGTGGTGGGCAGGTGCGTGACCCCGCCCCTTCCCCAAGGTGGCTCCTAGCTTCAGGGTTCCTGGCAGCTGCAGGCAACACACTTTGGGGGAGTGTGGGGGGCAGCAGGCGGCTTTGGGCAAGTTGCACATTTTGTCTCTGCCCCTGTGGCAGTGGCTGCTGCTGGGGGTGGGGGGCTGGGCCGGGGGGCAGGAGCTCGCAGGCCACCCCCGGCAGGGATGCGGGCAGCGGGGGCTGAGCACCTGCCGCGGGGGACCCGACGGGGTGGGGAGAGGAGGGCAGCACACCAGCATCCAGAATGTTCTGGCGTTCCCGGGAGAGTGGGGAGCTGCACGCAGCTTCCACAAAGGCCCCTCCTGGTTCCGTGATGTCCAGGCGGGCCAGCACGAACCCTCCGCCTCATGAGAGCAGCGGCTCCGACACCCCTGGCGCTTTCTTGGGGGCTCCGGCAGCTGCTTTTCCATCCTCTGTCCCCTGTGCGACACCAGTGGTCGCTTCGCACGTTCCTTGAGGGCCCACCCCCGTTCTGGGCTGCAGGACTCAGGCCTGTGTAGAGGGAGCCCCGTCCTGAAGGGGCTCAGGCACGGGGCCTGTGGCTGTCCACCCACCCCGGCACGGGCCCCCCCTGGGCTGCCGGGAGCCTGCCCGCTGTGTCTGTGCCCTCCGCCTCTCCCACCCAGTTAGTTGGTGGGTGACCTTCTGAAGCCTGGAGGCCCCAGTGGACACTCCACCTGCAGGGTGTGGCTGTGGTCACTCGACCCCCCAGGCCAGAGAGGGGCTGAATCGAACCAGCAACAGCACGTGATGGAGGTCACAGGGGCCTCGTGCTGAGGAGATGCAGGGCTGGGGGTGCTGCCAGGGCAGGAGGGCCCAGGGGCTGGACCGAGGTGGGACGGAGTGGGAGGGGCCGGGGTGGGGGGAGGCTGGGCCCAGAGAGAGAAGCTGCCCTGAGCCCACCCCGTACGCTGCCCCTCCAGGCATGGCACGTGGCCAGCTGCGATTCTGTTGAGCTCAACACATAGTTCCCAAGGGTCTGGGCTGCAGGGACAGGTGGACTCTGACCCTCCCCCCCCCAGCACGGAGCTGTGCTTCCCTGCCCTGGCTCTCCGGGGCAGCCCTGGGGCTCGCTCCCACGGGTGCTGCTTCTCTCAGAGGGGCTGCAAACTCATGTGTTCAGAAGGTGAGCTAGAGACCCTGACTCAAGAAAGAGGCTGTGGCGGGGGAGGGTCGGCTTCCAGACGGGAAAGAATCTTCCAGAAGCCTTGGAGCCTGCTATGGCCCTGGGGCCTTCTGGCCTGGTGGAGGTGAGGTCGGCAAGCACCTTCTTGTGCTTGGAGCAGCTCAGAGTGGTCAGCCAGTCCCAGCCGGCAAGGACGTGGGTCTTCTGAGCTCCGGCCCCAGGGCAGGGGCGCCTCTCCTGGGTTCCTGGCTTTGTGTTCCTCCTCCTGAGGGCTCTGCCTTTGTGAGGCTGGCTTTGTCCCCACGGCAGCTGCCAGCCCTCCCACTTCTTCAGGGAACCCGTGGCTTAAGCCCCAGAGGACAAAGGAGGAAGAGGCGTGGGATCTGGTCCCTGCTGTCGCTCTAGCATCATGCAAATCCTGACCCCCGGCCCTTGAGACCAGAGGGTCCTGGGGCCTGCTCTAGTGCGTGACTGGCTCACCGTGTTCTTGAGGGACATGCGTCTCCTGCTGGCTTTTTTGTCTAAAAGTGTGTGTGGCGTGGAAAGGTGTCCAGGGACCAGGGCAGCCCCAGGCCAGGGCAAGAACAAGATGGGGATGGATGGAGGAGCCAGGCCCCTGTCCTCTCCCAGCCCCCCTGGGGCTGTTGAACTCGGGACTCCAGGCCATTCCCCGGAGTTCTGATCTGAATCAGCATCAATGATTAACTTGCCCGGCGCTGCTGACGGGGCTCCAGCCTCGGGAAGGTGGCGAGGGGCGGCGAGGGGCGGCGAGGGCGCAGGCCAGCCACAGCGAAGCTGTTGGGATCGTCACTGTTGGCATTTCTGCATCTGGCAAACAGTGGCCTGCCTGGCACACGGCGCCACGTGTCCGAGCCCTGCCAGAGGTCAGGACAGCAAGCGGGGGGTGGAGGCCGCGGCAGCTAGGGACACCCCTTGACCCGTCCCGTCTCTGAGTTCAGCAAAGATGTCACAGGTCAAGGGGCATCATGAAAGGAAAGTCAGATGCTAACCCCGAGCCCAAGGCTGAGCAGCATCAGGGGCCTCCTCCTGCAGGCCGAGGAACCCAGGAGCCCCTCCCTGCACCCCCCCCACCCCTGCAGGCACTTGCGCACACAGCAGGGCGAGCAGAGCTTTGGGGCCAGGCATCTGCAGGTGTCGGGACAGTCCGGAGGGTCGCGGCGGGGGTGGATTCTGCAGCCAAGCCCTGTCGGCAGGGGCGACGTCCACAGCCTTTTGGTCACCAGAGTGGCACCGGAGCGCTCCGCCTGGAACTCCTTCCTGAACATGATTTCACATGCTCACAAGTTCCCAATTTGGGAGCCCAGGCTATAGGTGGTTCCAGGGGGACCTGTGGTCCTAGGGCGCAAACCGTCCCTTACGGAAGAGGGGTCTGGCAGGAGCTGAGCGGCATCCTCTGCCAGTGGCTGCCTGTCTCTGTGGCCCAAGGACGGCCATGGTCTGGTTTTATAGGGGCCCGGTGTGGGGGGCGGGGCTCGTTGAGAAAAATAATACAATTTACAGAATCAGAGTTCAGTGTGAAAGTGGACATTTACTTGGAATGATTAAGGAAATCATAACAAATCACCAGTTTTTTAAAAAGCCAAGAATGTCACAAAACCCAGAAAACTGTTTTGTTCATTAACTTGCTGACACTCTCTCGTGGCTGCCCCCCCCCCACCTACAACTCTTTTGGCTGCATGTTTCCCATTGCCGTTTTGGTATGACAACGCCGTGGCAGGATTTTGCAGAGAACAGAACAGGAGAACATTGCCTTTTCTTGGGCCACTTTGGCCTGTGCTGCCCACGTGCTCCCTGGGTGGGCACAGCGGGCTCCTGTCCTTGGGGCGGGGGAGGGACCTGTGGTCCTGCCCCTCCTCACCTTGCGGCAGCAAAACGTCCCTGGTCCCTGGCAGCCGCTGCCCCTCCCGACGGCTAGCAACGGCCTGGCTGTGGGTGGAGGTGACCAGCCACAAGGTATGCCTGTCCCATGAAACCCAAACCAAGTGGATCCCCACTTCACCTGCCCTGCACATGGATCCCCAGCTTTGCAGACACCCCCGCGCCACCCACCACAAGGAGCTACAGCGGACAGTGGCCGTGTGAGTTTCCCGGGGTGGTTCCCACAGCTGAGCAGGCGTGTGCTCCCCCGCCCCCACCAGTGCTGTAGGCAGGCGTCTGACCTCGGGCAGTGAGGGTCTGTCCTTCCCACTTCCTTGGCTGGGGCCACAGCGCAGCAGTCTCCGTGCCTCTTCCTGCCTGCTCCTTATGTGGCTGCCCCTCCACGTGTCTCGTCTCCCTCTGCTTCCTCTGAAAAGGACATGGGATTACTTGCGTAATCCAGGGTCATGTCCCCACCTCCAGACCCTTAACTCCATCACACCTGCGAAGGCTTTGCATTCAGGCCGCACTCACAGGTCCTGGGGATCAGGACGTGGACACCTCTGGGGAGTGCTTTTCAGCCTGCTGCGGCTGGGGTGGGGGAGTTTGGCGGCAGGATGGCGGGGTGGCTGTGAGCCTTGCTCCGTGCCCGGGATCTGAAGTTCTGTCCACGATGCTGGCAGGGCTGCTGAGTCTGGACCGTCATGGAGGCAGGCACATGTCCTGGTCATGCTTCGGGTGTCTTGGGAGTGTGGCCAGGCCGGCAGTTGTGTGCTGATGTCCCGTCTGTGTGCTCAGCCCCGTTGTCATGATGCTTCTCGCCCGTATGGTTTACTCCTGCAGCAAATGTGCATGCAGCTCCTGCTGGGGCTGCATGCGGGGGGGTGGGGCAGTGTTGTTCAAAATGCTCCCCTGGGGCTCCCCTCTGGCTGGGGAGGTGGCACCACAAACATCCACGAACAGCCATGGGGCCAGTGTGCCCGTGCTGGCTAGGGGGCTGGCGGGAGCTGGGGCCCGGGATTTAGCAGGTGGTTGTATGGAGGGGGTTTGGGGGCGGGGAGACAGCCTGAGCAAAGCAAGTGGGTGAGGAATGTGGACCCTGAGTTGGCCAGGCTTCTGACCCACAGACGCTGCGTGATAAAGTGGTGCTGCTTCCGTTCCCTACCTGTTTGGGGTCATGTGTTAAGCAGCCGCGGGAAACCGATAACGCCCACCCACACCGCCGGTGAGGTCACAGCCCGGCTGACACCTGAACCCTCCGCAAGTGGGAGGTGAGGAAGGGGTGCTGTTTTAATCAGCTGAGGAGCAGCGGGGCACAGATATGCCTGCTAGACTGTGAAGGCCAGGAGCGGCCGCCGCCCCTGGTCTGGAAGGTCTTACTTGTTTCAGTAAGGATGTTTCTCGAGGAGGGGGACCCCGTTGTCCTCGTCACTGTGTCCAGGGGCGCAGCACAGCCAGGCCTGTGGGAGATGCCCGGAGAAGTTAGCTGACCTGTCCAAGGTCATGGTGCTGGTAGCGAGCAGGGTGGAGAAGAAGGCCAGGACCTTGATGCCTGGGAGCCTCTGCCAAGGCTTGTTTCTAAGAAACACACCTGTAACCTTTCAGGGTTTTCCTAAAACACACCACTATTTCTGCCCAGTGCCTTAGATGCATGTTTCTGGGACATGGAGTCTGCAGGCAGAGGGCCTGCGCTGTGTTGTGCAGGGGTCGCACGCAGTCTGGTGAGGGAGTGAGGGCAGCTGGGCCTGGACATCAAGGACGGCTTCCTGGAGGTGGTGACCTGAGCTGGGGTGCAACACGTGCTGGGTTGGAAGGGGGATGGGTCAAGGGCTTGCAGACAGAGCCCACAGTATGTCTGCAGACCATTGTTACTGTGGGCATTCTGGGAAGTGGGGGAGGAAGCGTGGGTGTGTTGGGCTGCATTGTGAGAAAAGGTGGGAGACGGGGTGAACTGGTCCTCGATAGAGTGGCCGGAGCCCCTGGCAGGGCCTCTGGAGTTGTCACACTGGCTCCACCGCAGGAAGCTACCAGGTCCAGATGCAGAATAGCTGCCCATCCTCCCCAGGGCCCCGGGCCCTGTCCCCCCCAAACCCCTGGCTCCTGCCCGGCCCTGGCCCCCAGCATGTTGGGTAAATGTCCTGATGAGGAGGGAGGAGCCAGCGGTTATAGGAGTCGGCAGTGGCTGTGGGCCCCTGACCCCACACTGCCCCCAACCCGGATTCTGCCTACAGTGCTCGTCCCTGGGAGTGGCCTAGCCGCTGTCTTGAGGACACTGCCCATGTTCCATGATGAAGAGCACGCCCGGGCCTGTGGCCTTCCTGAGGACACGCTGGTGCTGCCGTGAGTGTGGGCTCCGTGGGGTCCCAGGTGGGGATGACGACCGGCCGTCGTCGGGGTAGAGCTGTCCTGAGACGGGATGGCACCTGCACGGTCTGTGGAGCAGGCTGTGGTCACTAATGTCCTCTGATGCTTTCATGGCTTTAGAGCTGACCAACAGCCCCCTTTCCAGGGGGCCTCGGACTCCCACCACCTTGGCTGTCCCCAGCCACGTGTGGACGCAAGCCCGTCAGGAGAGGCAGGGGCTGGCCCCAGGTGCCCCAGGTGTCCCTGCCTCCCCCTAGTGTAAGGTCCCTCTGTTCCTCAGTTCTTGACCAACTCTGCCTGGTGCCCGTCACGGCTGTCAGGCATCCTGGCCCCTGAGCTCCCTCCTGCCAGAGATTCTCCTCCCGAGGTCATCTCCACCGAGGGCCAGGCCCAGCCTCCCTCTCAGAGATGGCAGCCGGTCCTGGCCCATCCTTGACCCCCCTGAGGACCAAGGTCCCTGTGCCTGGGGACTCCGGGGGAAGGGAGGCCAGGCCCTGTACTGGGGATGCTGAGAGATATGCAGAGCCCACGGAGAAGTCCCTGGGTGCAGGGGTCAGCAGGGTGGGGGGAACGGAGCCGGCAGGGGGAGGAAGGGGCAGAGCAGGAGCCCTTGTTCTGCCTCCCGCAGGCCCGCCAGCCCCGCGCAGAGAGTCACTTACACGGTGCTGGAGTGCCAGCCCCTCTTTGACTCCAGTGACATGACCATCACTGAGTGGGTTCAGATTGCCCAGACCATCGAGGTAGTTGGGGAGTGTGGGCGGGGCTGGGGTTGGGGTGGGGACGGGGCGTGCGGTGGGGCTGAGAGTGGGTGGGGCTGTGGGTACTGGGCGGGGCTGGGAGTGTGTGGGCGGGGCTGGTGGGCGGGGCCGGGCCAGTGCTGCAGAAGCACGGCCCTGGGGTCTGTGGTGGTGGGGTCGACCTGCCTGGCCCAAGACTTGGGAGCATCAGGAAATGGCAGCTTCAGGAGAGTGTTGGACCCTCGGGTTACACCTCAGCTGCAAAGCTCCTGAGGTCCTTTCCCCCGTGCAAGCAGAGGGTGGGCAGTGAGGGCCATGTCCACTTCCCTGGTGAGGAGATGTCCTGGACAGCCGTCCTGGTTAGTACCCTGGGCTGGGATGCTCGCCGCTTCCCTGAAGGTTGACAGGGAAGGCCCACTGTGCTTCGCCCACTCTTCTCTGTTCACCCCACCCCGAAGGTAGGGACTTAGTGGATTTGGGGCCCATAAAAGGCACAGAACCGTGTGCAGGTCTCGTTTCCCTGCTGCCAGAGGACCCCTCCGTCAGCCTTCCTCTCTGTTCTGCCCAGCCTCATCATCACCATCCCCCTCACGCACAGGCCTGGCCCCGTTACCTGACTGCCCCCCACCCCTCCCTCCCCCACTTGCCTCTACCACCTTCTCCAGGCCCAGTTCTCACTTGCCTCCCTTAAGAAGCCTCAGAGGCTCGTCACACAGGCTCCCCTTCTCTGCAGCTGGGGGCTGGCCCCAGCTACATGCCTGTGATCTTCTGCCCTGGGGGGAGAGCAGCGCCTGGGCCGCATCCCCTCTTACTGTGAGCAGGACAATACGTGGTCCTGGGCTTGGTCCTTAAGTCCCTGAATGGGCCCACTAGCTGACAGTGGGCATGTCCGTGGCCACAGTCTGGGGCAGTCTCCCTGGTGTGCGGCCAGCAGCGCCCTCTGCCCGGGGCCTGACAGCTTTGCTGAGCTCCCAGGACTGCTCTTCTGGCCTCAGTGTCCAGCCGCGTGCAGACGCAAAGGGCCTTCGGGGCCCTGGTGGCCCCGCCTGTAGCAGTGCCCCGTGTGGCCAGCAGAGGGTGCCCCAGCCCGCCACACGGCTCAGCATCCGCAGTTCCAGGTACAGCCTGGCTGGGTCTTTCAATGGGCTGCCAAGGATGGTCCCCTCAGGAGGGGCTGGCCCCTTTGGTTCCCAGAATTGTGCCCTTGGCTGCCCTCTAGGTGGTGGCCAGAGGATGTTCTTGCAGCGATGGCCAGCATGCCTGGGAGGCCTTCTAGCCTTTGCAGCCTGGAAGGACTCTTCCCCATGTTTGCCCGCCAGCGTCCTGCCCTCCTGCCATATTCTGTTCCAGCCAGCCTCCCAGATCACCTGCCAGCTCCCAGCACCAGCTGTGCCTTGTGCCCTTTGCTGTGTCCACGCCTGGCCCTCCCGCTGGGCCATGGGCTCACAGGCTCACTCACCCCTGCAGACACCTGCCCTGGAGGCAGGGGTCACACAGCAAGAGGCCCTCCAGGAGTCCTGAGCTGAGTTCTGGTGTAGTCCTCCAACTGACCAGTGCTCTTGGGAGCCCTGACTGGGCATCATTTGGGGGAGAAGCTGGCCAGAAGTCTAGAGCAGACCTTCTGATCCTAGGGGAATGTCCGGAGACCCCCATCTCCCCCAGGCCCGTGGGTGTCGTGCAGTCAGGAAAGGAAGCTGTCCTGGGTGTGGGGAGAGCAGGGAGGAGTGAGTGGGACTCCAGGCAGGGACTTGCTTTCCAGAGAGTGTCCTCCTGGCCAGCAGTGACCAAGATCCCACCAGTGCCTCCCCGACTCCCTCCCTGTGCATCTGGGACCCTTTCCTCTCTTTGCCTGGAGGGGACCGGCTAGCCACCGGTCCCCGGGAAGAGGCCCATCCCTGGGAGGAGGCCTGCCTAAGCTTGCTGCCTCTGCAGAGACACTATGGGCAGTACGACGGCTTTGTGGTCATCCACGGCACGGACACCATGGCCTTTGCAGCCTCTGTGCTCTCCTTCGTGCTGGAGAACCTGCAGAAAACCGTCATCCTCACTGGCGCCCAGGTAATGTCCCAGGCCGGCTGGTGGGCATGAGGGCCTTCCCGAGGCCACAGGGTGAGTCAGCACTCGGGGGGACCCAGGCCAGACCCCGGGCCTCTTTCCAGTCCCGCGGCTCCCTGAGGCAGTGCTTGTTGCTTGGCGCTGGCCGGCCAGGCTGGGCGGTGCCTGGGTCCTGCCGGTGCCCACTCTGCTATCCCAGGGTGGGCCCGTGGCCTGCCGTCAGCCTTGTCCAGCTGCCCTGTCTTTGTCCCTCTCTTCATGCCTCCCCCCAGGTGCCCATCCATGCCCTGTGGAATGATGGCCGGGAGAACCTGCTGGGGGCCCTGCTCATGGCCAGCCAGTACGTGATCCCTGAGGTACCCTCCCCCTCCCTGGAGTGGGGGGTGGGGGGGGCCTGTCCTCAGGAGCACAGGCGAGGGGCTGGGGTGGGCTCTCAGGTGGGACATGCGGGGGAAGAGTCAGGTGGGGTTTTAAAGATGTGCCTTTCGCCTTACGAGTGACATACGCTGTCACCATAGAGAAACGCGGAAAATAAAGCGGAAGGAAACAAAGCCACCCACGTTTCACTTCCCGGAGAAGCTGCTGTTAACAGCATATGCTGTGTTTTCTTCCAGATTGTGTATCTTGCTTTTTTTAAGATTTTATTTATTATTTGAGAGAGAGAACACATGTGCCCGAGTGGGGGGAGGGGCAGAGGGGGAAACAGGCTCCCCGCTGAGCAGGGAGCCCCAGCCAGGACCCCGGGATCATGACCTGAGCCTCAGGCAGATGCTTCACCTACTGAGCCAGCCAGGCGCCCGCAGATTATGTATCTTATACGTGTTCACGTTATCCGTAGGTGTTCATGGAAGTTTCTATAGAAGTAGACTGTACCGAGTACAGTTGCGGAGCTGTCTTTCCCTATTCAGCACTCCCACTTCGTGTGGGGGCATGGGGGAGACCTTACAAGACCCCCTCACATTGCAGGGGAGCCCGTGCTGGGAGGTGGGCACCCCCCGTGGGGGGGCATCCCCAAAGTGCGGTGCCCACTGTCTCCCTGCCACTGTGCCCCCTGCCCCTCCCCAGGAGAACAGCTCGAGAGTGGCTGGAAGATGCGGGCAGAACTAGAACCCCCACCCCTGAGCTCTGGAGCAGGGCTGCTGGGACCCTGCCACTGTGGGGAGGGAGGGGTCTCTCTCTACACCCTTGGGCTGAGTTCACAGGGGCTCCCTGGGAAGCAGGGGTGGGGGCAGTGGGCAGGTGGGAAGGGAGGCGTGGCAGGGCCCAACTCTCCCCAGGCCCCTGCGGGGTGGGGGGCAGGGTGGGCAGGTGTGCTGCTGGGGCAGCCATCTGCAATGTCTGTGGGCCATTTGCAGTGGGTGCTCTGCGGATGGCAGGGGGGGCAGCTGGAGGGCACAGGGGCTCCCCAGGGCTGAACCACTGCCCCTGCCCTCCCCTGCAGGTCTGCCTGTTCTTCCAGAATCAGCTGTTTCGGGGCAACCGAGTGACCAAGGTGGACTCGCGCAGGTTCGCGGCCTTCTGCTCCCCCAACCTGCCCCCTCTGGCCGTTGTGGGTACCGACGTCACAAGTAAGCCCGGCAGGGAGCAGGGCCAGCAGACCAGGGCTCCTGCCCTGGGGTTTGTGCAGAGAGCTCGGGCTGGGAAACTGTGTCTGGGGTTGAGGAGCATCCCCCTAAATTGGGAACGAGCACAGGGCTCTGTTCTGCCCTGGGCTGCCAAGTCAGGGGCTGCTCCAAGAGGGTGGCCTGCGTGGGCCACCAAGGTGGGGGGGTGTCCCAGCAGGTAGCCCCAGCTCAGGCCCTGGGGATTGACCCAGAGGAGGAGCAGGTTTGGGGGACCTGCCCTTCATGTGTCCCCACGCCCTCCCCCCAGCCACGTGACCCTGAGCCCAGGAGTCCCTCTCTGTGACCATCTGTGACCCTGCCACACACCCAGGGGGATGTGGTTCCTGTGTTGTGATGTCCTCCCTGGGACTTCCCGGGAGTCCTCTGCCTCCTGGACCTGGCAGGCAGCCCAGCCCCTAGGGAGCCCCTTCCCTTCCCTGCCTCTGACCTTGCTCTCAGCCAGGACTGCTGGCCTGGAGCTCGGGCCTCACTGACCCCGGGGGGGAGTCATTCCCAGGGCTGCCATCTCTCCACCTGGGATGTCTGCCCTCCTGCCGTGTCCCCAGTGTGTCCTGGCTTCACTCTGGGTCCACAGTGGGCATAACCAGCTCCTCCACTCCCACTGCCTGGTGACTGAGGGCAGCCCCCACGTCTGCCCGGTGTCGTTTCCTGACTGAGCTGGGAGGTCCTGCGCCTTATGTTGGCCTGGGCATCTGTCCCCACCCCACCAGCTGTGGGATCCAGTCCCAGAGACCCTGTGGGGGGCGAGGGGTTGCAGGGCCTGGCAGGACCAGCCTTCCTCTGGGGAACTTCAGGGCTTCGCAGCCCTGCTCCAGGTGGGCCCACCACGGCATGGGGAGGCGGAGCTGCTTCTGCGGGACTTGGGGCTCGGGAACCCAGCACCAGCAAGACCAAGGTGGCTCTTCTGCTTGGACTGCTGGCTTCCGCCCGGGGCCCGGGCCCATGGGGGCTGTTCCAGGAGACGGGCCCTGGAAGAGCCCTTTGGGGTCTCCTGGTGCAGCAGCCTCCATGCCCCCAGAAAGAGGAACAGATCAAGACCAAGGGAGGAGGGGGCTGTGGGTGGGCCTTGACTTCCCAGGGCCGGGAGTTTCCTGGGATGCTCCGGCACAGGCAGGGTCTCGGGAGCGCCAGGCCGGGCCAGGCAGGGGTGCAGGGCAGGAGCCTTTCTGGGAAGGCTGCTGATGGGGACTCAGCAGGGAGGCGCTCTGGCCGGCACAGCTGGGCTATCCGTGGAGAGCAGATAATGGGCAGGCTGATCCTGTAACTCTGAAAGCCCCCAGTGCCTTTGGATCCGCACAGGACACACAGACGTGGGAATGCCGGCGTGGCGATACACAGGACCTGGCTGACCCCTGGGTCCTCTGCCAGGCAGTTGTGGGGCCGCGGCAGGCCAGGGCAGCAGGAGACCAGAGGGTGGGCCATCGAGGCGGGGAGGGCCACATGGCAAGGTGTTGGCTCAGCGCAAGCCCTGACTCCCATTCTGATGGTCTTATCCTGCCCCCACCCCCCTATCTGCAGGTGCCCACCAGGACTTGTAAGACAGCCCACATGCCCAGGGCTCCAGGGGCCAGGCGGGGCTCCACCTGCTTGCTGAGGGTGCCCCAGGGAGGTGGTGCATGCGCCGGGGCGGGCAGGCAGATCGGCTTCCTTGCCATGGGGGGTGGCAGTGCTCAGGCCCTCCCTCCCTGGTGCCGGCCGGCTGAGGAAGGAAGGGTTGGGCGGCTGCTCTGCAGGCCTGGTTCTCCCCGGTGGGGACTGAGTCACGCTTCATCCGGGGCTCAGGAGCGGAGCTTCTGGGGATGCACCGGGCTGGCAGGCGCAGAGCCGCTCCGTGTGGACAGCAGGGCTCTGTCTGTGCTGCTCCGGGCCCGGGCAGGCCACAGGGCAGCTTGTGCGTGCAGGGCTGAGGCCGGCCCTGAGGGGAGAGGCCACCCCTGGAGCCCCGGGCTGGGGACCCCAGAAGGATGGCTACCTGCTGGCGGGTGCCTGGTGCGCTGCGGAGTGTGGGAACGTTTGGCCTGGCCTGCCCCAGTGGCTGTCAGGCCCCCAGGCCGGTTAGGCACGTGGTGCTGAGTAATGCCAGGCTTTGCCCAGGATGTGGCTGGCTGGCGGGGGGTGGGGGTGGGGGGGCACTGGGGAGGGGCCGGGGCAGAGGGGGGTGGACAGTGCCTGGGCTAGCAGGGGCTCCCCCACTCTCCTGCTGGGGGTGGCCCAGCCGGAGCCACCCTCTCCTCGTGTTACTACTTCCCTTTGTGAGGCTGTCATAGACGGAGGCTTGGGGGTCAAGAGGGGCTGTGGGGACACACAGAAGGTCCCAGGGGCCTTCTGTGCGGAGGGCGGCTTGGTCTCCCACAGTGAGGGTCGGGGGTCTGCGCGGGGAGCTGGCCCGGGCTCGGTGCGCCCCAGGCTGCCATCCCTGCTTCCTCTCTCGGCTCCGGGGGGGCGGCAGGACCTGCGGCTCCATGGGCTGTCAGGGGCCTGGTCCAAGCATGCAGGGAGGGGGTCGTGGGCTCTCTTTGTCTCTGCAAACCCCCCTCTGTGGCCATAACTCCTGCAGCTGGCAGCAGCCCCCCCTTGCCGGCTTATCTGCACGCCCAGATGGGGCACACGGCCCTAAATTAAAGGATGCCTCTCACTGCTGATGGATGCTGCAGGCCCCCTCCTGCCGCCCATCCCCCGGCACTCCCTCGGATGCAGCACGAGAGGGCAGCGTGTGTCCGGAATGTTCCCTGGTTTATTATCTCCCATGAATTGCTCTGGTGGCAATAGCAGGAGGCCTGGAGGCTTCCACCCCCCCAACCCCAGGGTGAGGGTAGGGAGGAACCCTGGACTAGGGTCCTGGAGACGCCCCTACCCACTATTCTCCTGGCTCTACACACTGGATGGGCAGCCTCAGTGGCCCTTCCCCACTCTGGGCCTCAGTTTCCCTGTGCTGGATATGGTACCCGCTACCTCAGATAGGCTCTAATGGTCAGTGCCAGTGGGGCCATCGACACCCGGCCACTGCCCCCATCGGGGCTGTGCCCGGGATTGAGAGAATGGGGTTCTGTGCTGGGCTCGGGGGTCCTCAGGGCTCGGAGGTGAGGCCTGCTGCCCAGCCCCACCTCCAAGAGTGATGCAAGAAGGTGGGGGGGGGGCCTGTGCTGGCCTGGTCCTGGCAGAGCAGTGACCTTCTGACCCCTGGGGACACTGGCCTTCTGGGGCCCCGAATATCTGGCCCTCCACTTTCCACAGGGTGTGGGGGGTAGGCCTCTGAGACTTTGGGGTGAATCAGAGGGAGGCTTTCTTTCCCCAGAGCTGAGGGCTCCGGAAAACTCGCTCGTTTCTTTCTTCATCTTCTCTTTCATTCTTTGACTTGCGGGGCTGTGGGCGAGGTGGGTCAGGGGCAGGCGAGGCTGGCTGGACAGACTTCTCCCGGGACGCAGGACGGCACACCGCGTGCGGCTCTGCAGGCGTGCTTCCAGGGCCGCGGGCGCTCTGTTCTTGCTCCTGGAACGCCTTTCCTCCACCTTCCCTGCACACTTCCGTGCGGTCCCTGCACACTTCCGTGCGGAACCTGCACACTTCCGTGCGGTCTGCTAGACTCAGGCGCCCCTGTCCCTGAGGGGTCCTGCTTGTGCCCTGGGCTCCAGGCACAGGCTGGGGCTGCACCCCTCCGAGGACCTGGGAGCTGAGGGCGGGCGGGAGTTGCGTCGGGAGCGGGGCTGGAGGAGCCCGGCGGGGGTCCTGGCTGAGCAGTGGCCCACACGTCCCACACGTGCTCCTCTGCCCTCACAGTCAACCGGGAGCTGGTGAGGAAGGCCCGAGGGAAGGATCCGCTGGTGGTGCACAGCAGCATGGAACGGGACGTGGGCCTGCTGCGCCTCTACCCTGGGATCCCCGCGGCCCTGGTAGGGACCCGCCCCAGCCCTGCACGTCCCGCACGCTTTCCACGCACCCCGTGGCTCCCCGGTGCCCGCCTGCCCATCCTGCCCCTCCCATCACCCACCCCACCGCAGGCCTGGGCACGCAGGGACAGCGACTGCACGAAGCCCCTCAGCTGTCAACGGCCAAGGCTGACCCTTTTGGGGCTGAACCCGCACATGTCCCCAGGACCTCCAGCCCCTCCCTTGCCTCCTCAGCTGAGGCTTCAGGGCCCATCTTAGCCTCTTTGCAACGTGGGCTTGACCCTGCAGATGCCGGATGCCGGTGGACTCATGGCGCCTGGTCCAGGGCTCTGCCGGGGCCGATGGGGGTCGATGGGCTATGGCCCCGAGACTGCTCTTTCTTGTGGCTGCCTTGGCGGGCGTCTGTTTGCTCCCTGCTGGTGACCCCTCAGCCACGAGCTGCCATGGGGGGGGGGCACAACGCCTGACTCTGTCCTGCCTTGTGAATTGGGCTCAGATGCCGTGTGGCCCCTCACATAGAGGGTGTCTGAGCTACAGCAGGCTGGGCATCGCTAGGGTCAAGTGCGGGGGGCTGGGTGCCAGCCTCAGAGGCACTGCTGGGCTGCAGGGAGCTGGGCCTGCAGGCACCTCAGCTGAGGACACTTCTGCACTGTGACCAGCCGGGCATGTGGACAGAGGTGGCTTCACGGGGACGTCCCCACACATAGGGTGGGACTTGGCATGGGCTGCCCCTGAGCTCTGGGCCGCAGTCTGTGAACTGGGATCTGATCCCCTCAGAGGGCACTAGGGACAGGCAGGGACGTCTTTTCACCGTGTGTCCCCTACTCCTCTCGGGCTGGGCCTAGGACAGGTGTTCCACAGCACACGGTGCGTGAGTGAGGCGGACCCAGCCCTGCGGAAGGCCAGGTCGGAAAGATGGGCCTTCTAGTTCCAGTGAACAGGCACGGCCTTCCCAGAGACTGGACCCAAGATCTTGCTGGACGCTGCTCCCGCTGGGAGGAGCCCCAGGACCACACGCACCAGGACCGCAGGCCCCCACCCCCGCTTGTCCTTGGGGGCTCTGGGTCCTTCGCAGGCTGAGGATCTGTGATGGCCTTTCCTCGCAGGCCCCTCCGAAGGCAGAGACCCTCAGAGAGGCATTCTGTGGGCTCTGGGGTGGGACTATGTGGCCTGCCTGGCTCAGGCGGCCTCTGGACGCTGGCTCTTGGGTGGGACCCCGGGGTTTTCAAGGGAGGCCTGATCAGGGGAGGACTGGTCCTGCACATAAGGGCCCAGGAGCTGTCTCTGGTGGGGGGGGGCGCTGGACAGGGAGCCCATATGCAGCGCTCTCCCCACCGGGCCAGTCCTGGCCTGAGGAGGCCTTAACATTTGCCGTAGCCAGCGGTTGCGGCACGAGGCTGCCGTGTTCTGGGAAAATCATGCTGCGGCTGTGAAGTCCCAGGCTGGTTTCTCGTGAGATTTTCAGAACGCCCTATAGCTGGGGAAATGAGGAGCCATGGAGCTGGCCCCACAGGAGGACAGACGCTGGAGGCTGGCTGTTGCCAGTCTCCGTGGGCTCCTGGGCTGTGGGGGCAGGGCCTGCTGGTGGCAAGCTTTGGCCTGCGGTGGGTCTTGGTGTCCAGTCTCCCCATTCTTGCGTGTCTACCAGGGACAGGTATGCAGTCACCTTTGGCCTTTGCTGGAGAAGCACTTCTGGTGAGGGGTGAGAGCTCCCGCGGGGGGCACTGCCAGGTGGCGAGGTGCTCCTGCCTGCCTTGAAGGCCTGCCCTGGGCCAGGGGCTCAGCCCTTGCACCCTCACCTGTATGGCAGAGTCATGGACAGATATAGGCCCTCTGGGCCAGGCCTTCTGGTGCCTGGCACAGGGCACTGCTGAGCTGGGAAGCTGTGTCCCTCCGTGGGGCCCATCCGTGGGTGGACCCAAGGCCCTGTCATCTGTTTACCGAGTGGAGCCTTGTAGGCAGGCAGGATGTGGGGGCGGCACCCCTGGCTGACTTAGAGCCCTATATGTGTGTTCAGCTGTGGGGCACTTCCCCCAAATACTGCCTTGCTGGGGGCATCCCCTGCTGTGTTTCAGACAGGGCAGGGCGAAGGGGCTGGACAGAGGGCCACAGGGCTAGGAGCTGTGTGGAGGGGGCGTTCTGATCGTGGCGTGGCCACACCGACCACGGCCTTCAAGTCTTGAAAGGGGACCAGGTGTCTCTCCAGGAGAACGAGGTGGGGAGCAGACCCTCACGGCTCTCCGTGTGGCCTGCTCGGGGCCAGGACATCCTGGGCTTGGACAGCAGCCTGGGCTGCATATGCCGTGGCCGAGCGAAGGTGCGGGACAAGCCTGTGGGTTCCCACTGCTGGAGCAAGAGGCCAAGACCCCCCCCCCACCCGTGTCTCGGCCCCACAGGTCCGGGCCTTCCTTCAGCCGCCCCTGAAGGGCGTGGTCATGGAGACCTTCGGCTCGGGGAACGGGCCCACCAAGCCGGACCTGCTGCGGGAGCTCCAGGCCGCGGCCGAGCGGGGCCTCGTCATCGTCAACTGCACTCACTGCTTGCAGGGCTCCGTGACCTCTGACTACGCAGCTGGCATGGTGGGGGCGGGGAACCAGGCCCTGGAGGGGGAGGGCATGGGCCCTGTGACCCTGCACCCCATTTCCTGCCCGTACCCCTTTCCCCACAGGCCATGGCAGGAGCGGGCATTGTCTCCGGCTTCGACATGACATCGGAGGCCGCCCTGGCCAAGCTGTCCTATGTGCTGGGCCAGCCTGGGCTGAGCCTGGACGGCAAGAAGGAGGTGCCCCTCGGGCTGTGGGTGTGGGGACACGTGTCACAGGGCTCCTGAGGGCATGGCGAGGGGTGTGACTTGGGCAGACGGTGGGGCCCAGCCCAGTGGGGTGTGTGCCTAGATTGGAAGGGGGGCAGGGGTGCAGGGCCTCCCCGTTGGGGGAGAGGACCAGCTCTGGGGCCTGGGCTCCCTCCACCCCTTGCTAACCCCAAGCTCAGACTACCCACTCTTCCACTGTCTCAGGGAGCCGTGGTCTGGCACAGGCCGAGGCTCCTCAGACTGCTCCCAGGATAGCCCCTTGTCCTGCAGCCTTCCCTGGGGGGCCTCAGATGCAGCCAGCCCGGGCAGAGGCCACGGGGTCCTTGGGAGACGCGGGGCTAGTGGGATGGAGGGTGGGGTGGGCCTGCAGGGACCTGGTTGGGGTCAAGCTCGGGCCTGGGGGATGGAGCTTGAACTGAGGGGTTTCGGGCCCAGAGCAGCCCTCACTGCCTGCCCTGGGGGTGCCTGGTCTGGGAGGTTGGTCGGGCTCCTGGGCTCCAAGCATCCCTGGCTTGCTGTGTTCTCCTCCCTCAGCTGCTGGCCAGGGACCTTCGGGGGGAGATGACGCTGCCCACTGGGGCCGAGCGCCGGCCTTCACTGAGTTGCAGTGCGCTGGGCCGGGGGATTGCCCAGCTCCTCACTCTGAGCCAGGTATTGCCCAGTGTGTGGGGGTGTGTGCACGGGGGCCTGAGGGGCGGCTCCCCGCTAGACACGCTGGGCACCAGCCACGGCCGCCACCATTCCAGCGTGAGCAGGAGACCGCCAGGCATGGCCTGGTTCCCGGCCCAGGTGGAGGGCTTGGGTCCACAGCAGGGATGACTTGCGAGAACTCAGCGTTCAGGTAGGGAGCAGCACCTGGGGAGCAGCTGAGACAGTTGAGCGGAGTCTTTGCAGCACGTGGACAGCGGGCAGAATGTGACCCCATCACCAGGGGGGCACGTAGGGGCATCCAGCGGCTGCGCTTGGCTGGGCTGGGCCTGCTGCCTGCCAGTCTTGGCCCCAGGTGCCATGTGGCCGGTGAGGGGGGGGCAGCCTGCGGGGTGGGCACGCTGTCTGTCCTGGGTGCTGGAAGGAGAGGGAGCTGGGGTCTTCCTGCACCTGCGGGGTACAGCCCCTTGGGACTCCCCCTTCACCCTCCCAGCAGGGGAGCTGAGGTCCTACTTCAGGGTCTGGGGTCTGGGGTTGAGGCCGGGCTAGGCCCACGGCAGTGATGGGGGCCTCCCGGTGCCCCACTACACAGCCCCCTGTGGCTGAGGCGTCCGGGGCCTGGCACCCCCGTGCTCCCCGGGGTCACGCCATATGTGGCAGTTTCCCCCCTGCGGGGTGGGGTGGGTGGATCCACCATGGACAGCTGCGGTCATGTTCACTGCCACGTGCCAGGGGCAGGCCACGGTCGGACCAAGAGGCTGGGATGTGTGGCCTGTTACTACGGTGGCTGTGTCGGGCCTGATAGCTCAAGGGATGAGGCCGACGGGCAGTTGCTTTGTGGTCAGGCCGCGCCGGCGCTGCGGGGCTGAGGGTGGGCTGGGCCGCGTGTGGGGCCGCCTGCGGGGCCTCTGCTGGCATTCCCGGCCCTCTGGCGTCTTGGGGAGCTCCTAGATGACCACGGCATCCCTGGGGCTGGGGGCAGCAGCCTGTAGGAGCTCTGTCCGGGGAGGAGTGCCCTTCTTTCTAGGTGAGGGGACCAGCCCCCCTTCCTGTGCTCCCCCGAGTGGGCACCTTGTTGTGAGTCTGTCTCTGCATCCTCAGTGGTGGTGGCCACGGCTGAGGAGTTGGATCTCAGCGGGTGGGTGGCGTGCCCTGGGGCACACGGCTGGGAAGGACGGAGCCGGACGGTGGTCTCGGGTCCCCTGGGGGCAGAAGTGCTGAAGACCCCAGGGTGCCGTTGTCCTCCACCCAGGAGGCCGATGCCGTACGGGATGCTCTGATGCCGAGCCTGGCCTGTGCTGCGGCCCACGCGGGCAACCTGGAGGTGTTGCAGGTGCTTGTGGAGCTGGTGAGGCCCCCGCCCCTCCTTGGGGACCAGCCCCAGCCACGCCACTCCCTGGGGGGGGTGGGGGGAGGCAGGCAGGACAGCCTTTCCCTGGGGCCCTGCTCTGCCAGGCCGGGCAGCCAGCTGGCCGGCCGCCGAGGGGCGCGCAGGGGCGGTGCTAGGCCCCACTCCCGGGGTGCACCCTGATCCTGCCCAGCCCTCCCTCAGCAGGTGACAGGCCTTTGCGTCGCCCCAGGGCAGTGACCTGAGCCTAGAGAACTTTAACGGTCAAACTCCTCTGCACGCGGCCGCCCGGGGAGGCCAGGCCGGGGTGGTCAGCATGCTGCTGCGGGGAGGGGTGCACGTGGGCCCCCGGGACGAGGACGGACTGAGCCCGCTGCTGCTGGCCGTGAAGGGCAGGTACCTGGGGCGCACCGCAGCGGGCGTGCAGGCTGGGGCGCCACGTGGGGTGGGCCTGCGTAGAGCCGCCTGAGAGACGGCTGCCGGTTAGCCTGTGGTGACCCAGCTTGCTCGGCAGAGCTGGGCGGGGCCAAGGACTCTGCTTCCTAGAGCCTTACCCGCCCCCAGCCCGGCTGGGCACAGGGCCTGGGCAGCCAGCAAGCAGGGGGCTGGAAGGACAGGCACTGGGGCCTGAGGATGCCCCCTGTCCTCTGCTGGGGCAGCCCGTCTCCTAGCCCCGACCCCCAGTCCTGCTGGCATCTCTCCGAGGGCCGGGCCTTACCGGCTCTGGCCAACAGTGGAAATTCAGAGCAGATGGTCACAAGGTGGGCAGGGCTCGGAGGGAGCTTGGTTCAATATTCTAGGGGCTTCTAACCTTATGGGACATGGAACTTGCCGGGAAGACCTCATGGGTGGGGTGGGACCCCTCTGTGTCTCCTTCCCCGTGGCCCACCTGGAAGCCCGGAGCAGTGTCAGATACAGAGTGTGTGCGTGCGTGCGCACCTGAACATGGGTGTGAGAGCTCGTGTGTGTGTCTGGGAGGTCACAGCTCTTGTGTTTAATCCTTTGTTGGCTTACTTAGTGTCTACAGCAGTCCCCAGGCCCCCCGCTTCTTCTTGGGGATCTATTTCTCCCTGGGGGCACTCAGCCTGCCAGTGAGTGCTTGCAGGTCTCATGGAGAGAGGCTGAGGGTGTGAGAACCTGGGGTGGCCAGACTGTCAGGCTCAAGTCCTGGGTGCCCCAGCGGTGTGCGCCCTGGGGTGGGCATGTCAGCCCCGGTGAAGAGAATGATGGGTAGCACTCTCTTCGCTGGACTCTTGCTCTTGTGAGCACAGGGTCAGAGGGTTCCCAGGGTGGGGGTGAAGGGCTGGAGTGATCTGGCTGCAGATTCCAGGTATGAGTCCTTGGGCGTGGGTGGAGAATGATGAGCTCACCACCCCGGTCCCACCCCCTCATCCCTGACCGCCCCCCCCCC